CAAGGGATCATGGCCACAACGAGACTGCTTGTTACCTGGAAGACGTGGCAAAAAGGTACATCATCTGGAGAAATGAGAGTTAGAAATCTTGTAATGATTTCATTAATTGTTAAGGAGTGTACCATGAAGTTATTGCATGCATCCAAACAACCTAAAATGGTAATGTTATTAGTTAACATTGAGGTGAGAGAAGGGTATGGGGGTACGGACCAGCAAACAAAGGGGTATAGCCTCAAAAATACATTTGATGCACAAAGTAATAACAAATAACAACTCTTTTCAAAGATCAGGTATACATTTTTTTAAATTTATCGTAGTGTGTAGATGCATGTAGTTTTTTACTGATTTTATCCTTTTTGAACTGGAAGATATTCAGAAGAGATTTCTGCTTCAAAAGAATATCGCAAGACAATCGATTGGTCAGAACTTGCGAAGGCTGCTGCTGAGGAAGCACAAAGGAAACATGGTAATTAACTAAGTAACACTTAATCAGTTTTAAATTTTGAGCTTCAGGTTATGCTCAAGTGTCTTTTCTGGTTTCACTTGAAACTGATGCGCTACTCTGTCGCTGAAATGACTGATGTCTATGGCACCTTGTCTAAAACGAAGAGAAATATAGTCAACTCGGTCATCATGTCCCTTTTTGAAGATACATTTTAGACGACTTAATAAACTCGATTGTTTGCTCGCTTCAGGAAAACCCAGAAACTCGGTCTTGCTGCATCTACCTTGCCATTTGTCGGCTAAATTTTAACCAGCAGGGCAGACACGGGGTGTAGCGTAATTGGGTTCACCAGGTCAACCACAGTGAAGTACAGGACGGACAGCAGACTCTTACACACGTTTATTGGATTAAATCGCGTAAACAGGCTAAAGCCAACTTGTTACAACACTTGCGGTAAAAACTAAAAAGGAATGCACGATTTGTCTAAGCTAAGGAAACGAGCTAAACTACAACTCTGACGACAGAAAACACAACTAAAAGCTAATAGGAACTCAACGATCGTGACTTACATCTGATCTGGACTCCGGGGATGCGAAAACTCCCACGTTGTAAATAAACTCCGAAAGACTCTGATTTGCATGTTCAGTGGAGCGCGTAGAAAGAAGTAGAATTAATTATCGTAATTACTTATTCGCCTCGACTACGCGCGGCGGGAAAATCAGGTCATGTGACTTGTAGTTTAAAAGGAACAATTTATGCTGTAAGATTCACTCGAAGCTAGTCATCAACGGTCATAAAAACGCAAACATCAAGAGATCCGACTACGCAGAAACACAAATTGTAAGTTACATAACCGTTTATCATTTCGACTAAGAATATTGTAGATAATAATGTATCCCGAAATTATTTAATTTCAGTTGACTACGACGTAACCATGGATGTAACGAGCCGTGTCTTACATTAGTACAAATAAAATCTGACAACGTTGATCCCTGGGCTAATCTTCAGAATAAGTAGCCCCTTCAATCATAGGAGCGAATCAGACTCCTATAAAACTCTTCTTTACTCCAGGGACAACTCCTTAAAACTAAAATGTTCGCGTGAAAAAAGGCCTAATATACTTCTATGACGTAGAGGAAACTAAACTGAAACGACTCTTTGTGCGGCTAGCCAAAAAGGGATATTTTATAATCACGTAATCAAACGAAACAAGGCTACATTTTAAGAAAACAAAAGGTAGTACATTTTAGTGAGACCTAATTGCGTTTTTGACTAAGAGCGAATATGAGCACCATTCCCGGTAAAACCATCCTGAACGCGTTCTTCAGTGAACAGCGACTGCCCAGTTCCTGGAAATACGCTGATGTCACCCCTCTTCCGGAGAAAACGCCTGAAGAAAGGTTTGAGACCCATCTCTCTGATACCATGTCTGTCCAAGGTTGCGGAGGATTTTGTTGTAACTGATCATCTTAAGCCCGCTGTGATAAAAGTACTGGGTTCTAACCAGTACGGAGCTGTCCCAATGTCCTCCACCACTATGTCACCTTGTTCAGCATGATCCATGAGTGGATCACAGGAACTGAGAGCAACGGATCTGCTGTTAGAACGATCCTTTTTGATTATAGAAAGGCATTCGATCTGATAGGTCATGCCATTCTAATCAATAAATTAAGTAAACTAGATCTTCCTATTAGTGTAATCAATTGGATTATTGATTTTCTAAGTAACCGGTTCCAAAGAATCAAACTGGCTGAAAGATGCCTCTCTGAGTGGGGCCCAGTCCCCTGAGGAGTCCCTCAGGGGACGAAATTAGGGCCTTGGTTGTTTGTGGTTATGATAAACGACCTGGTAATCGATGGCGCGCGTGTCTGGAAATATGTTGAAGACATTACTGCATCTGAAGCTGTCGGAAAGGGTGGGGTTAGTAGGGCCCAAATTATTGCTGATAAGGTAGTCGAGTGGTCTCTGGCTAACAAAGTCCAGCTCAATGAGAAATGCAAAGAGCTTCGAATCTATTTTGCGAGAAATAGGGCAATCGTTGAGCCATTTAGGGTACATGGCAAAGAGTTAGAGCTCGTTGATAGTGCAAAGTTACTAGGAATAACGATCACAAGTGATCTGTCATGGAACACCGATGTAAATGATGTTATCAAAAAGGCAACCAAAAGGCTCTACTTTTTAGTTCAGCTAAAAGGGCCAAGGTTCCCTGCAGTGACTTAGGGTTATTTTACATCACGTTTGTAAGATCAGTTTTAGATTATGCGATCCCTGTGTATTATTATTCACTCCCAAAGTATTTAATTAATGAGCTAGAGCGAGTCCAGAAGAGGGCTTTAAAAATCATATGCCCTGGCCTCAGTTACGATGAAGCTCTTAGTTACATGGAGATAGCGCCGCTTAGTGTCCATCACAGTGATATTTGTGCCACGCTTTTCAAAGACATCCTAAGTGACTCAGATCATAGGTTACGGGCATTATTGCCGCCTTCACATCAGGCTTGCAAATATTCGCTTCGACGAACACGCAATTTTGACACTCCTAAAATAAATACGAAACGTGTAAGAAATAGTTTTATTATTAAGTCATGTTTGAACACAAATACGTTATAAATTAATTTTAGATCTTATAGTTGGCTTTTCGAACTTAATAGTACTTTATACAGCATTATATATTTAGTAATTTTATTATTTACATTTCAACGGTACTCAATTTAGCCCTTGGCTGCTATGTATCGTTTTTCACTAAAATCTATTCTATTCTATTCTAAATCTATTCTATTCTAAATCTACTCTATTCTAAATCTATTCTATTCGCTCTTAGACAAAAACGCAACTAGGTCTCACTAAAATGTACTACTTATATTTTTACAGCTGAGTCTGAAGATGAAAAAGATTTAAAGAGTATGCCATCCCCCGAGGACGGCGACTCCAGTGATTACTTTGCTGATGCAGAGACCTCTTCATGTGGACCTTTTGAAGGTGACCCAAAATGGGCTGATGCGGAAGGTGGGGATCGACGTCGATTAGTTTTCTTTCAGCCGATTCATATTATTTTCACACAATCTTTATATTTATCATTGGTACTTAATGGATGAGAACATCAGTTCCTTATGTAATTGATAATTCCTCCGACTTTGAGGTCTCATTTGAGTCTTCTCTAACAAGGATGAAATGTGAGAAGAACAGTTGTATCCCACATGCCCGGGAGGGGGAGGTACTCCCTTATAAGGGCTTAATGGGGAGGTGCGGCCAGCCAGGGTATGTTTTTCGAGATTTTTGTCTTAAACAGGGTATCGAATTTATCATTTTTTGTCTTAATCGGGGTATCGATTTATCAATTTTTGTCCAAAACAGGATATCTTTTCTTGGAAGATAAACAGCAACATTTTTACAAGCTCTAATTTTAATTGATATTGAATTCCGTTGATTTTGGCATTGATACCAGGCGCACTAAATGCCTTAAACAGGGTATCAAAAATCGGAATTCTGTCTTAAACAGGATAGGAAAATCAGCGATATTTGTCTCAAACAGGGTCAGGGTATGAGGGGCCGCGCCTCACCTCCCCACCCAGGAATATATCGAGTACCTCCCCCGGGCCCACATGCAATAAGCAATTATGGGATGAAGTTGAGCAAGATATCATGGATTATTATACATTAGACTGAAATATCTGATTAGTCGAGTGAGAAAAATCGTTTGAACAATGGGATTGCTTCTCATCAAAGAGATGATTCTTATTCGCTTTACATGACGAAAGGCTAACAGTCGAAACTTCAGCTTAGAAACTCTTTACGGTGGCCAATTTACATTGTCAATTCGGTTGTTAAAACCAGATTATTTTGTTTGTATTTTAGTTTATGTGGGGTTTGTATTGTCATGTAAATTTTACTAAGAAACATAGAATATCAAACTTGTTTCTGATGAGATTCGATTTTCTTACGTCAGCACCATGCACAAAAGAACATGCATACTTGTACGAATGTCCGCGGACTTATTCAGCTTTTGTGAAAAGATGCCATGCTAACCTAGCTGAGGAAGATTATGTCCCAGCCTCAGTGATAGCGATTCAGAATGACCAAGCAGTGGCCGCAGCTTGCACAAAAAACAAAGAACCGTCAGGAAATGAATACAAGTTCGGAATTCCTCTTGTGGAAGGGTTCCATGTTAACTTAGCTGAGGACGACTTTGTATTGAGTGAGTATTACAATCCTTGTTTTATCGTAGGGGAGGAGCTAAAACATTTCACGCTTTTAAAGGTTTTAAGAGCAACTGTCCGTAAAAATCAAACAAATTTCAAAATCTGTGGCAAACCTTGAAAATCGATTTCGCTCATACTTTCAAGTTTGGAAGGGTAGTGTGTTCCAAGAATCCTGGTATATTTGGTTTGGCTGAATATCGTTTTATTTTGGAGATATATGTGAATAAGCGAACATGGTCGAAAATGTCGAATTCACGGCATATTATATAGAATAAAAATGCGTGCAACTTTATTTTTTCGAAGAAAGATCGTCAATCGTTTGGGCTGCTAAAACTCTGCTGCAAAGTGTAATTAATAACTCAGAATGTAAATTATCTTATTTCGACTGCTTTATACTACTGTAAATGTAATCCTTCAAAAATTTTTGGAATTTGTAATTTTAGCTAAAATAAAATACACACAATTCGCGGTGCCGAGAAATTGTTGGGCTCCCTGTGTCCAATGCGTAACTGTAAACAAAGCAGTATAATCCGTGATGAATCCATGACTTCAAATGTCGCCAGAAAATCAGTTCAAAAGCCATCCTGAACCCCAAGGCAGGTAAGGATATGAAAGATATGGATTAATTTTACCTGCTGTAGCATTCTTTTAATTGTTTTCCACGATAAACAAGGCCACCAAGCGTATAAATTTGGTAGTGTAGTGATTTGACCCGAAGGTCACAAAGATACAATTTCACCAAAGTTTGATTCATTACAGTGTCACACACAAACATTCGCCCCGGGATCTATTTACATCTATTGAAAGACCTTTATTTCGAGGCTCTCTAGGCGGAATTTCAGTGGATTTAGAGATGGAGAACATTTGTTATCAGACTATTTGTAAGAACTACTTTTACCGTTGGAAAATATAGGGTCCAAGAATAAAATTATTTTAAAATTATAGAATTGCGTGATTAATCTTTAACTTGTCTATCAGGGTTTGGGGGTTATTTTGATTGTAAATCAGTTTATTTCTTCGATCTAAGCCACTTAATTTGGACCTAAAATCAGCCGTGAATTCGACATTTTCGACAATGTTCGCTTATTCACATATATCTCCAAAATAAAACGATATTTAGCCAAACCAAATATACCAGGATTCTTGGGACACCTTACCCTTCCAAACTCGAAAGTATGAGCGAACTCGATTTTTCAAGGTTTGCCGCCAGTTGTCTGATTTTTTCGGACATGTACTCTTAACTGTTTGAGATATGCAAAAATTATTAGAAGAACAAATTTCTCTACCATGGAATTCCTCTCATTTTCAACAGGCTGCGATGAAGCTCCATTAGATTTGTTACAGTTACATTATGGGCTCTAAATTTCTATCGCGAGGTTGTTGATGAGGTTGCGCTTCGAGTGCCGCTTTGTTTTTGTTCTTACCACATATTGACGTCATCTGTGATCTAGTCCTGAGCAGGCGCACGGCAACGTAGAATGTTTTTGTTAAATAGAGCTGCGGGGAAAATGGTTCCCCCTCAATAATTGGCTGGACTACTTTGTCGTATTGCAGGAGAAGGGCTGAACGACTGGATGCTTTTTCAGAAAGTCTCTATTAAGTCACACTTGTACAGCTGTGCTTTTTAGTAAATGGAACTGAAATAAAGGATAGCCTCTCCCATACCATCTAAACTACCTGTCCGAAACAGCCTTAAAATTTTACATGAGACTTTTAACTTGGAATTTTTCCTAGTTTCCCCGCGGCCCCTTGCATGCTTTATTACCAATTTTTATTAAAAACTGCCGCATGACGGACGTACGCGATAGCGCCTTCAGGTACTGAGCGGTTGAACCATTTTGCAATATCTGAAATTTTGTCAATAAATTGGCTGACCTCCAGTTGTAAGTTAGAATTACGCTGAAAGAAAAATAAATAATCAAACCAGTCAGTCGGCATTTCAAGAGGGAGGTGGAATTATAGACACCAAGCATTCCCACGTTTTATACCATTCCAAAAAAAAAAAAAACATTGCGAGGAGAGAAATTCTCTCGCCTGCGTATTTCTATTTTAAAGGCAAGTAAGTGTGGTGCTGAGCATCGCATCAATCGCATAAGTCGTGCGAGAAAGACGGAAACAACTCAAGCGAAACCATTTCAGGGTTCTTCATCACCCACCAAAAACAGCTTATGCGTTTAAATATTCGTTGCCAAAAAGTCCAGAAAAAAAACCTCCGGATCTTTATTGTGTCCCTTTTGTTGCTCCGCGTTCCGTCGCTAATGTTCTACCGTGACTATTGCATATTTTGCGCGTTCTGTTTCTACTGAGGTTAGAATTGCGTAATATTGGAATAAAAGCATTGAATATTCTACTTGTCAATTCGTGTAATCAGTCATTCAACTTAACATCGGTCTGTTGATTGCCGTTCTAGTCTAAGGATTACAACATTTCATTACCAATACAGGTCGCCCAGCTAGAGGCCAAGATAGCCGTCATGCACATCGCCCTAAATCCAGTTGGGATCCACCAGTACTACTCGTCGAGCCAATAATTGTAGTGATTGTGCTAGCAGGTAAGTGTTTGGTAGAGCATTTCGTTTTCTTATTTTTCTTGTTTGAGGCCTCTGTATAGCAGAGTAAAGAGGGGTCAATAAACACTCAAGAATTGACGAACATATCCAAGGGGGCTCGCAACGATGTCTGTGCAACACTTATGCGCAAAATGTAGTGTACCAATTTCTACTGCATATTGTGCGTCATTTGACGGTAAAATATTAAACTGGTGCCTTTGCAAGATTTACAGTGAATAACTAGGCAAAAAGCGTCATTTTAAGTAAGTGGTTCTATCTATAGACCTATAATTCTAGTATTAAAAGACAAAGCTTAACAAACCGTTGGCTTCATTGACTTTTGTTGCGCGCATCAGTACACTTGTTGAGATTGTTTTGTTTGAAGGTGTAGTCTGATCGTCCGGGTGAGTGTAGTCCTGAGAAGGACTGTTGTCGGTGGCAGTGACTGACGTTTCGACAACCTGTGCGGAAGTCATCATCAGAGTCAAGTGAGTGATTGTTGTCAGTAGAATGTTCTTATTCCAGTTCGTGTGAAATGATCGGTTGGTTTTGCCGTGATGTTATTGGCTGTAAGACTCAAGTGACGTAAGTCGTTCGTGATTGGTCTGTTTCGGTCTGTCGGTAAAGCTAGGTTGTTCTTTTTCGGTCGTTTGTGATGTTTATGTCGTGAATGAGTCGTTTGTATGGGGCGGGTAGTTGTTGACATCTGTTTAGGGGAGTCTGTTCTAAGTTAGTAAACCAGCTTTCCAGAGTCAGTCGTTGAAAATAGTCAGTGCTGTAGGTTAGGCATTGCGCAGAGTCCCAGTCAATGTTGTGGTTGGTAAGTCGTTGGTAAGACGACACGACGAAATTGACGCATTCCACCGCCACCTTAATGAACAAAACACTGACATACAGTTTACCAGAGAAGTCGAAGAAAATGGCAAACTTCCTTTTCTAGACTGCCTGGTAAGCCACAACGACAACTCATTACGGACGACAGTTTACAGGAAACCGACACACACCGACAGATTACTAGACGAGTCATCCTACAACCCTACATCACACAAAGCCACAACTATCAGAACTCTAACACGACGCGCACAACTAGTATGCGACTCGACAGACAGCTTATCCGACGAGAACAAATACCTTCACCGTGTTTTTACGAAGAACAACTACAACAACGACTTCATCCGACGAAACACTCACCGACCCACTACCACTACCGAAACAAACGACACCGCAACCCCTACGACTACAGCAACCATACCGTACATAAAAGGCATGTCTGAAAACATCTCGCGCATCTTACTACCCTTCAATATCCGCGTCGCCCACAAACCCATCACCACACTACGTCAGTTACTAACCAACGTTAAAGACAAAGACGAACCGAGGAACAGACAGGGAACGATTTATAAGATCAATTGTTCCGACTGCCAAGCCTCCTACATCGGTGAGACTGGCAGAAACCTCACAACAAGACTGACTGAACACAGACGGGCGACGAGGAAAGGTGATGTCAGCAATCACATTGCTGAACACCATCGACTTACCAACCACAACATTGACTGGGACTCTGCGCAATGCCTAACCTACAGCACTGACTATTTTCAACGACTGACTCTGGAAAGCTGGTTTACTAACTTAGAACAGACTCCCCTAAACAGATGTCAACAACTACCCGCCCCATACAAACGACTCATTCACGACATAAACATCACAAACGACCGAAAAAGAACAACCTAGCTTTACCGACAGACCGAAACAGACCAATCACGAACGACTTACGTCACTTGAGTCTTACAGCCAATAACATCACGGCAAAACCAACCGATCATTTCACACGAACTGGAATAAGAACANACCACCACCTTAATGAACAAAACACTGACATACAGTTTACCAGAGAAGTCGAAGAAAATGGCAAACTTCCTTTTCTAGACTGCCTGGTAAGCCACAACGACAACTCATTACGGACGACAGTTTACAGGAAACCGACACACACCGACAGATTACTAGACGAGTCATCCTACAACCCTACATCACACAAAGCCACAACTATCAGAACTCTAACACGACGCGCACAACTAGTATGCGACTCGACAGACAGCTTATCCGACGAGAACAAATACCTTCACCGTGTTTTTACGAAGAACAACTACAACAACGACTTCATCCGACGAAACACTCACCGACCCACTACCACTACCGAAACAAACGACACCGCAACCCCTACGACTACAGCAACCATACCGTACATAAAAGGCATGTCTGAAAACATCTCGCGCATCTTACTACCCTTCAATATCCGCGTCGCCCACAAACCCATCACCACACTACGTCAGTTACTAACCAACGTTAAAGACAAAGACGAACCGAGGAACAGACAGGGAACGATTTATAAGATCAATTGTTCCGACTGCCAAGCCTCCTACATCGGTGAGACTGGCAGAAACCTCACAACAAGACTGACTGAACACAGACGGGCGACGAGGAAAGGTGATGTCAGCAATCACATTGCTGAACACCATCGACTTACCAACCACAACATTGACTGGGACTCTGCGCAATGCCTAACCTACAGCACTGACTATTTTCAACGACTGACTCTGGAAAGCTGGTTTACTAACTTAGAACAGACTCCCCTAAACAGATGTCAACAACTACCCGCCCCATACAAACGACTCATTCACGACATAAACATCACAAACGACCGAAAAAGAACAACCTAGCTTTACCGACAGACCGAAACAGACCAATCACGAACGACTTACGTCACTTGAGTCTTACAGCCAATAACATCACGGCAAAACCAACCGATCATTTCACACGAACTGGAATAAGAACATTCTACTGACAACAATCATTCACTTGACTCTGATGATGACTTCCGCACAGGTTGTCGAAACGTCAGTCACTGCCACCGACAACAGTCCTTCTCAGGACTACACTCACCCGGACGATCAGACTACACCTTCACATGTTACCCCCGGGTTCAAACCATTTACTGCATTGTTTTGTTTTTTTCTTTTAGTATATGTTTGTTGGAAGACACAGTCAGAAATATTCATTTTGGTCTGGATACCAACTAATCTCACAGTGTGGGAGTATGAATACGTGGAAACATTTGGTAAATGTATTCAACCTCAAATGCCGGCGCTAAAACTAATCGATTTGGATGATGTAATGTGTTATCCACTCGACTTGATCAGTACCAGCTTCTTTGAGTTAAATGACGTCAATATCATCTGCTTCCTTGGTTGTGTCCTATTCTTCGTTGGGGTGGTCTTGGGATTATTTTGGAGAGGTCTGTTCGCCCACCTTTACTCCTGACGCTGTTGGGCAACCCATTTTGCTTGGTGAGTTTAATAAGAAGCAACTATTTCGGTGAGACCTTTTCATTGTCCATGTAACACATCGCTGAATTTTTTAATCTTGTATGTCTTCTTTATATATGTTTTCAGGTGTTGGTAGGATAATAAATCATAAGTGCACGGGAAAGGGCTCCTTCACAAGCCTCATTGGGGTCTGGGAGTATCATGCATCATTTTGAATTCGGTGTAAGAATTCAACTAGCGTTTTCCATGTGATATCCATAGAATTCTTGGGAAGCGTGCATATTCATGTGGTTTTTTAGAAAAATTTTTGGGTTTTGGAGGGACTGTTATGCATCGATCAATTCGAAGCTTCAACATCTTCCCTCCTGTGTATTTGAACTTTTGAAGATTGGTTTGTTTAAATTCCCACTTTCGGGACAAGAATTGTGTTCAATACCCCACGCGATTTTTTTATAGAAGGCAAAATCAACAACCGTGACTTTCTACACTTTGACAAAGCTTTGAAACGTAGACCCTGCAGGCCTTTTCTTCTGTGCCATTCGCTCGCGAAAGTCAACTATTTGCCTTAAACACCTCCATAGTTACAGATAGAACACTTGTATTCTGCTGGAAGGACTTGACACCTTACCCTAGCTAGGCAAGGTTGAAATTCCTCACCCACCTCAGGCACGGACGACGGTCAAATGCCCGTGGGTTGCCCAGGAGGGGATGTTGAGGCTTCGAATTGATCGGTGTCCAATTCCAAAGTTTTCATATCACCCACTCAATGAAACGTTGTACAGCACCTCTTTTTATCGTTTCCTTAGAGGCTGATTGTTGCATCCATGTTCCCGTTTTCAGAACGCTATTCCATAGTCGAAGATGAGCTAATCAGACGCTTAAGCTGTGAGCCTCTCCTCAACCGACACTGGGAAAAGTTAGCATCTATGTTAGATGTACCCGAGAAGGAAATTAGGGAGTTGAGTGCAGGCTGTGAGAGTGACAGAGATAAAACAATTGCTACTTTGAAAAAGTGCAAACAGCAGAGTGGCACCAAGGCAACATTGGAAAGGTTGTGGGAAGCACTTGGTGAGTAACATTTGTTTTACAAATTTTATCACCAAAATTATCTCGTAATATATCATAAAACTTAGCCTCTGGACTTCGTGCATATGCTACTTAAACTTTTGTGGCTAGTAAGACGCTAGAACACCAAGCCAGCACCCAGAGCCTATCGTTGAAGGTCTCCATCTGATCGAGAAGAGATCAGACCGCGAGAAACCACAATGAAAGTGGCAATTCCAGTCTAATCAAAATTTGAACCCCTAGGTCAGGGTTCGTACGGGTCCTGGAAAACCTGGAAAGTCCCGAAATTTTATTTTGGCATTTTCCAGGACTGGAAAGTCCTGGAAATAGACCACAAGGTCTGGATAGTCTTGGAAATTTGCTTAAATCAAGCAATAAAGTTTTCAGAATTTACTTTATAAGAAATGTGTATAAACTGCAAGGAGGAGAATTGATTTTGAAATCTTGGGAATGAAAAGGTTAAAGGTCAAATTTGAAGTCCTGGAAAGTCAATCTGAGTCCTGGGCAAGTCCTGGAAAAAAAGTCCTTGAAATTGTTTCTGAAAAAGGATACGAACCCTGTTACTTAGGTAATCGCCCTGGATCACCGTCTGAATGCAGTAAATTTCCACTCGTCTTCCATGAGACTCAGCTTGCCATCGATGAGGCTCCACATGCTACCTGTCTCGATGAGAAACCACAATAAAAATGGCAATTCCTTTCTAATCAAAATTTGAACCCTTAGGTAATCGCCCCGGATCACCACCATCTGGATGCAGTGAGTTTCCGCTTGTCTTCCATGAAACTCAGATTGCCATCGATGAAGTTCCATATGCCGCTAGTCTCGGTGAAGTTCCATATGCCGCTAGTCTCGATGAGGTAGAGGTGAAGAACATGCACTTTCTAGACCCGGGGGATGAACTTTGAATTTAAGTTAAGTTCAGTTAAGTTCCTGGCAAGAACCTTTCGCCAGATATTTTGCTCATTCTCACTGGGTAACATTATTATTTTGAAGGTCTTATTTGCAGATAACTGACCGCTAATTGTTTCTTAAATTGTAAATTTGCAATAACTAGGGCGCTCAGAAAGATCCGGAAAAGGAAAAGGCTCGCCTTTCTGGAAAAGGAATGTTTTAAATGTTGCTTATAACGTAGTATAGGTAAACTTTTTTTGTATTGTAATTTACTAGTGGTTATATCTGCACCTAACAACCCAAGGAATTTGACATCTCATGACGTTTGATAAGGTTATTGTCTCGTCCCAGTCCTCTCCACCCTTATTAGTCAGCTTAACCTAGATACAAAGAGACGAGATAGAAACGACTCTTTCTACAGTCACGGTACCAGTGTGAGGATATTTATTTAGTACGAGATGTAGATCGCGATATTTAGTCCTCTCTCGAAAAGGGTGACGAAAATTTCTAATACTGTTATAATTATAAAGTTTTGAAGATATTGTTATACATGACTGATGATTACGTAACTGGTAGTTGCGTTACTGATTATTTGCTGATGTTTGCCAATTACCAATTGCCAATGTTTGCCAATTACTAGTGTAATTTTTAGCGGGGCTCCTACGCGCGCTTCGCGCGGGTGGGGCACAGCTCCATATTCATGGAAAATGGTCAACCTCTTTTCGTTTGGTTGTCACGTGACTGACCGAGCGTACGTACATACGTGCCTTCACATTGCACGGGTAGGGTAGGAGAGACTATCAAAACGAAGGGAGGGGTGTCTCAGGCGAGTCTTGGCAAATGCGCATCTTTTGTGTCATCATTAATATTACGAACTTGGGAGCTCCTCTTTTAGGCTTGGCTGAATCTATATATTAGCTTTGTCCCCATCCAATGAGAACAAGTACTGCTCATCGGTGGTGTGGTTTTATTTGAGCTGATAGACCATGGTTCGATTATTAAAACAAAGTTTAGCCTTATTTTTCATTAAAACTGCGTCCTATACAATCGTCAATTTAGCTGAATCTTTTATCTGAGCATTTAATTTTTTGAACTTTGTCTAGAGGGCTGAAAGCATATTGTGTAAGACCTTTTGTCTTTAATTGTCTCAACCCTCCTAGAGAGAAAGCCTGAGGCCCACTGATTGCGCTAAAACCGTGGTTTGGGTTGGACCTCGTGTAATAACCGGCCCCATGACTTTGAGACCACTTTTGTAAGACACGAAAATCGTTAGGAAAAAAAAGAGGAAGGGAATTTTCTTTTTTCCGCTCAGCCAGATGTTGCAACGTACTCAAACAGGCTGCAGCTCTCTGTTTCATACATTTCTATGAGAGGGAACTTTGTAAGTTCAACCGGTAATTAATCGTGTTTCTGTGATGAACCAAAAGTGGAGTGTCTACCCCTGTACGCTTACAGGGATATAAATATGGACACACCAAGCACTGCGGGGACATACTTTGTGTGTGTGCGCGCGTTTGTGTGTCAGGGGAGGGGGTAACCCTAAATAGCCCGCGTGCGACGGGGGGTTGACCCTAAATAGCACGCATGCGACGGAAACCGATGCGACACGCTTTCTCATCTCGAGACTTCGGTGTGCGACAGATGTCTTGTCTTGGTCATTGTCTTTTTCAGCAAGCTGTGTTTAAAACTCTGGTAATATGTTTATTCATGAAGCATGCCACTGTTTTTACCTAAGTTGATCTTGTTAGAGGGACTTACAAGAAACTACCATATTTATTGGTATAGATAACGTGATTTTGAGTGCAACTAGGGGTGAGTAAGCACGAGCAAATTTCTCAAAGACAATTTGTTACCTTTGAGAAATTTACAAGCGCATTTTTACACCAAATTGAATGAGAAATCACGCTGTTACTTGTTAATAATTTACATGAAACAAGCATCACACTCGTTTTCAGCCAATCAGATGCGCGTAATTTTTCACGTATATTTTATCGAAAAAAGGTGTAATTTTAGGAACGCCTCTTCAGCTCTACCTTTTATAGTAACAATCTTTAAGCGCCATTTACTTTGTAAATCCAATACTTTGTATTACCTCAAGTCCGTTTCTAGGTTTCTTGGAATCTCAATATTCCTAACCTGGTTTAGTTTTGTTTGATCTTGACTAAAAGTACGTATGATGCACGATCCTCGCAGTAGAGAATGCTATTTATACAATAGCGAAAATCAGACCTGTACGGGATTCGAACCACTGACCTCTGCGATACTAGTGGAGTGCTCTACCAATTGAGCTAACAAGCCAACTGGGAGCAGGCCGTTAAGTTGATTCGTAATAAACCCGTGATGATAAATCGGATACAATGAATATATGAAGTTCCTATATTTTGAACTGCGGTATTAGATACGTGTGATGCACGATCCTCGCAGTAGAGAGCGCTATTTATGCAATAGCGAAAATCATACCTGAAAAAAAGTCAGGCCTGTACGGGATTCGGACCACTGACCTCTGCGATACTAGTGCAGCGCTCTAACAATTGTTTATTACGAATCAACTTAACGGCCTGCTCCCATTTTGTGAAAACAGTAGTTCTGAGAGACAAGTTTCTCACTTCATAGTCTTTCTGCCTCAAGGCCGAATTATGTGCCAAGAAAGCTCACTAAAACAAAAAATGTTTGAAGAGGTTTTCCCTTCTCTGATTTCGTGTCATCGAAGCGGTACTCACCAACATGTTCATAAGAATGATAGGCAT